GTAAAATGGTGCAACCCCTGTGCAAAGCAGTATGGTGCTTTCTCAAAAAGTTGCAAATAGAGATACCGTTTGACCCAGCAATTCCACTACTGGGAATATATCCCAAAGAGACCATAACTGACATCCACACAGATATATGCACACCCATCTTTACTGTGGCTCTGTTCACAATAGCAAGAAGTTGGAAACAACCCAGGTGCCCATCAACAAACGAATGGATAGAGAAGCTGTGGTATATTCACACAATGGAATGCTATGCTGCATTGAAAAACAAGGAACTCATGCAATATTATTCAAAATGGGTGAGCCTGGAGGACATTATGCTGAGTGAAATATCTCAGATGCAAAAGGACAAATATTGCATGGCGCCACTGTTGTAAAATGGGACTGATATCAGGGTGGGGGTAAGACTGAGAAAAACTGGATAAATTGTGTATACTGCACTGATACAGATGAGGGAGTGAATAATTTAAAAGCGATGTATGATAGGGTCTTATGGTTATCACAGGAGTCCACAATTAAGGTTGCACAGTGGAATGTACTTGGGGTGGTGGGAGGGGTGCAGGGGGATTATGTACCAGGGAGGGAGTGTTTCTTTTACTTCTGAAAGGAGAGAAGTGCAGCATGAATGGAAATCCAAAATCTCTGTAAATGCTCATTAAAATTACTAAAAAAAAAAAAGGTCAGTGGTTCAAATCCACCAGACCCTCTACAGGGAAAAGATGGGTCATCTCCTCTCTTGCATACATCCTTGGAAAACAAAGGGAAAGTTAGACTCCACAGCAATGAGGATGTTGAGGGTGATGTGTGCTTTGGAAAACAAAAAGGGGAAGAAGTATAGAGTAGCATGAATCCAAGAGTTGATGGGTGATCAGGTTAGACCTCAGGAAAAGCTAAGAATTTAGCAAACATTTTGTAGGAGGAGAGAATTAGCCAAGTGAAGATCTAGAAGAAGGGACTAACGTGGCCAGTTTTTTTCACATTCAAAGCAGAGGAACAGCTACAGCAAAAGTCTTTAAAGTATACAGATCTCTGTTGTTGTTGTTAGGTGCCATCGAGCTGTAGACGACTCATAGCGACCCTATGAACAAAAGGCCTGATGACTGTTCATAGAGTTTCCAGAGGCAAGCCATTTCGGAAGTGGATGTCACTCCTGCTTCCAATCTTGTTTTAATTGGGAAGCCCCACCAAACACTGTCCACCATGGGTAACCATTATCACATTTGGCACATTAGTGCCGGAGTGTTCAGCATCACAGCAACCACAAGTTACCTCCCTCTGTACAGCAATGCACAGACCATTGCTATACCACTTAGAAGAATGTTTGACAGAAAAACAATGTGAACCTGGCCTGGGGACCACAGATTAAAATCACCCACCTTGGGCTTGGTAGTATAACTTTCTGTCCACTAGGCCAACGTAGCTCTACGTCATCGTTGTTACTGTTGTTGGGTGCCGTCGAGTAGTAGACAACTCATAGCAACTCTATGAATAAAAGGCCTGAGCACTGTTCATAGAGTTTCATAGATCTTTTGGAGGTTCAAAGGAGACTTTGGTGGCATCGTCTGTAGGGAGTTGAGCAGCTAACCACGAAGATCAAAATTCTCTGGCTGTACGAACCCACCTAATGTCTACTGGAGAGAAAGATGGGCATCTCCTTCAACGGGAATGACAGCCTCAGACATCTAATGTAGGGTCAGCATTGATCTAGATCTGATTTACTGCCAATGAGTGAGTATGTTTAAGGAACAGCAGGAGGTCCATGTGCCTGGAATAGAGAAATTAGTGTGGGAGGGGGGAGAGAGAGGAGCAGAGAAGGTCACAGGTAATAGAGATCAGATCCGGAATAACCTTATGGGCCATTGCAAGAATTTTTAACTTGTACTTTGATTAAAATGACGAACCACTGTAGTGTTTTGAGCCAGGAGGGAACACAGTCTTACATTTTGAGGGAATTACCTTTCATGCTTGTCCTTGAACTTGTCCAAGAGGCTTTTAATGAAAGGCTTTTCCATGAAAGTGATGATAGTAGTTCAGATGCGGGTAGTATCTGTGGATCAGTGAAAACAGATTGCACTGTGGACACATTTTGAAGCTAGAGAAAACAAGACCTCTTAATGAATATGACATAAAGTGTGAGAAAAATAGAGAAATAAGGAATGGTTCAGATTTTTGGCCTGGCCAACAAGGAGTTGCAACCGGGCAGGGAGGGATTGGTGTTAATGAGCTTCCAGCAGGGGAAAATAAGAAAGAAGATGTGAATTATATCATTGGATGTATTAATCTTGAGTTCTAGTGGGAACTCTGTGTCTGGAGAGGTAAATTTGAGAGTCTTTATCTTATACACGGAATGTAATGTATTAAGGAGACTGGATGGGATCACCAAGGGAGGGAGTGTGGACAGAGAAGAGGGCAGGAGACTCCGACTAAGTGTCAGGGACATGAGGAAACCACAAAGGACGAGAAGCGGCAGCCAGTGAGACCAGGAAAAACTGAGAGACAACGGTAACCAGAGAGCCATGTGAAGCAGCAGCAGCGGCAGCGGCAGCAGCAGCAGCAGCAGCATTCAGGGGAGGGAACAATCAATCGGATCACGTGCTGCTGGTTGAGGAAAGACTGAGAATTCATCACTTGGTTTAGCATCAAGGTCATTGACGACAATGATAAAGGCAGTTTCTGTGTAACCATAAAGGAGAAAGCCTGACTGAAGTGGGATTTATAAGCGCTGGGAGGTGGGGGAGAAGAACTTAAAGCAGCAAATAAAGACAATTCTTTCAGAATTTTGCTGTTAAAAGGAGGAAGGGGATCGGGCAGTAGCTGGTAACGAGTGAGATTAAGGGAAATTTTTTTTAAATGGGGAAAATGAATACATTCAAATATTAATAAGAAAGGGTTAGAAAATCAAATGACTTTGCATTTCTCCATTGCAACACTAGAATCTGTTAGGCACAGGAGTAAAAGGCCTTTCAAAAACGAAAGGAAGATAATTTGCAGCCTAAGAATTTTATATCCAGCCAAAATGCCATTAGGTGAGGGTTGGTTTTTTTTTTTTCTATAATTATATTTTATTAATTTTCATAAACATTTAGTGAGGGTTGGTTTTGACCTGATGGTAGTGAGGGGTGTTGTGTCTATTTTGTCCTTTTCAATAATTCAAGCGTTTAGTTAGAACTACTTCTACTTTGGTATAAAAACTAATATGACAAAAGAAAAGTTCTATTTCCAAACAAGATCACATCCATAGGTACAGGGTCCAGAACTTCAACACATTTTTTTATAGCTATAGATATAGATATATAAAGAGAGAGAGAGAGAGAGAGATATGAAATTTAAATGTTCTGATGAAGAAAAGATGATTGAAGGAATAAAGTCTATATAGCAAACCCCAGAGAAGACAAGCTATACTTGAGGGCTTAAAGACCTAGACAGTTTCTACTGGAGACCCCAGTCCTGCTCAGCTTGCCAGAGACTCCCAAGATCCACTCAGGTTTCTCTTCTAAACACAAAACCCACAGAATAAAGGTTTCCAGCCGCAAGACTTCCTTGGTGCTAGGAATTCCAGGAGTTGGTAAAATATTAATGGTTTGAAAAGTAAAAATACATTATTACTAATCATTCACATGTAGAGCACTCAAGATTTGTCTGTCATTGTCCTAAGCCCTTTTACATGACTCATCCTATTGAATCTCTGTGGCTGCATTAGTTCCTTTTGTCCTTATTGTAACCCGAGCCTCTGAAATGTCAAGTAAGTTGCCTAAGGTTACATAGTCAGCAAACTGATACAAGTGGACTTGAACTCAGACTTGACAGTGTCCAATGCCTTCCAGGCTTCTGACTGCAATGTTAATGTATCATAAATATGTAGTCTGTAGCTATGCAATTTTCCACCAGTGTAACAGATCAATTCATGGATTAGAAAGGGGCCCTCTCTTGAAATGATAAGAGAACAGAAGCCTGAGTGTCTCAAGCGATTATTTCACAAGGTGTCCACTAGGTTAGTCTTGACATCATAACTCTTTCAAAGTGTGGGAATCAGCCATTCAAATATTCAATAGGAATTATTTTTGTGCTTCTTTTCCATATGTGGTTAAAAAAATTGGCTGCTAACCAAGAAGCCGGCGGTTTGAATCACCCGTTGCACAGCGAGGGAAAGATGTGGCAGTCTGCTTCCCTTAAGATTTGCTGTCTTGGAAAGCCTATTCTATCCTACTGGGTCCCTGGGACTCCATGGAAGGTGGCTTTGGTGTTTGGATTTCCATTTAGGTCGTCTGTGACAACAACGTTTGTTGGAAGTGTTGAATAAATGTTGACTAGATAAATGGAAGATTCAGTGTGAAGTCTTTCCAAATCACATGCAGAGCATCTCATTCAAAACATCCAAACTGTCAACTCAAGCCCTGCCAGCATTTTCTTACCAGGTTTATTCTATTTCCCAGCTGCTAACTTCCTGGGAAAAACTGTTCAAGACGCCGCTTTAAAAATGCGGAGGAGAACACCCAGCAGCCCTGGATGATCGGAACCCTGTAGATAGATGATCGGGTTTGAGAGTTATCTCGGTGTTCATTTCACCCAGAGGCCAGCGCTGCCCGGAGGTGCTGGGGGACCTGCGTCTATGCGGGCAGTGCAGGGATTGCACACTCGTCCGAAGGGAGGCAGAGCGGGCGCCCGCCCTGGAGCTGCCAGACCCGCCCTGCTGCGGCCCCGGGGCTGCGGGCGGGGCAGCGGGACGCGCGTCCCTACGGTGAGATCAGCGAAGCGGGGCTGCGGCACGGCGGCGCGCTCGCCAGTCTACGCAGGCGCCGCCCCTGCCCGCCTCCCCTCCGCCCGCGCGCAGCGCCTGCGCAGTGCGCCTGCGCGCTCCCTCCGCACTCCCTACTGGGCCCGGGCACCGCCCCCGTAGGCTCCGCCCCCTCCCGTGCGCCCCATATCCGGGTTCCCGCCGCCGCTGCCGCCGCCTCGCTCATTGAGCTTCGCCGGGCGCGGTGTGATTCCCGACCAAGATGGCGGTCGCGGTGCGCGTCGGCTCCTTCGGGTCCCCTCCGCCGGGATCAGCCTCGTCCATGGCCGGCGAGCTGGCGCCGGGGAGCAGCGGCGCCGCGGGCGACGACGAGGACGGCCAGAACCTCTGGTAACCACCCCACCCTCCCGGCCCCGCGCACGGACGCGGGGCTCCCGTGCCCGCCGGGGCTCGGCGCCGCCCGGGCCGGACTCAGCCTGTGCACTTTGCTCCCCGGCAGGTCCTGCATCCTCAGCGAGGTCTCCACGCGGTCGCGCTCCAAGCTCCCCGCGGGCAAGAACGTGCTGCTGCTGGGTGAGTGGCCCCCGCTCCGTCCCCGGGCCCCCGGCCGGAGCTCCGCTCGCTTTGTGCGGCCGGCGCGCCCCGCCCCCTGTCGGGGGAGCCCAGGGCTGCGGGTTCGAGGCCCTGGACCCGCCTGCCCTGCCCCGCCCTGCGTTCCCCGGTCCCCTGCGCGGGCAGGCTAGTGCATCCAGGGCCGCCGACCTCCCCACCCAACAAGCACGGGCTCCTTTCCTAACAGAAATGGATGGATGGCGGCTCCCTGCGGGCGGCTCCCGTGCAAATGGCCTGCCATTAATATTTAATAGCTGACTGTAATAATTGACAGAGGAGCCAGCGTGGAGCCCGGGAGCCGGGATGCGGCTGCTGTTTGATTCAGCATTTTCGGATGCAGTGCTCGCCTTGCAGCGGCGCGTTCCGCTCTCCCTGGGAATCCTGGCATCTACAAAGGAAAGGAGAGCACCTTGCTGGCCCGGGCCCTGCAGCTCGCTGGCTGGCGTGCGGGGGAGAAGGCTCAGATGCCCCAGTTCTCCTGACTCTCCCGTGCATGTCCCTCTCTGTTCTCTGACAGTTGAGTTTATATTGTGTGTCTCTACTGATGGCGATGGAGGACTGTGGGGAGAATATGCCCCAGGTTCATATTTTTGCAGATTGCACCCCTCAGTTATTTCCATGAGCAAGATTTCTTCATATTTAATTAGGAGGTTTTGGAATGTAGCGTGCAAGCTGGCTACATTTTAAAATTTAGGTGCCAGTGTCTCAAGAATATTTTCTTTTGTTTTTTTCCCCTTTTCTAAAAAATTTTTATTTCTTAAAATTTTTATTTTAATGAAAGTTTACAGAGACTTTGGATTTCCATTCATTCATTGTTGCCGTATTCTCCCAGCTCAAGAATATTTTTACGTAAATGCAAAAGCAAACACGAAAAAGTCAGTTCCTTTAATTCTTTTTTAATAGGTATGCTTTAGTGGAAATGACTTCTTTTTCACAAACAGTTCTCAGTCACAATAGATCTTTAAGGTTATGTGGAGCTGTGTGACAAATTAGACCTTACCTTTTGGGTTTGGTGTTGAAAGCATGTCCTGCAGATGATTCTGGACTCAGTAACAAACTAGCCCAAGATAGTACATTTCTTGCTGTCAGCTTCGTTTCTTCTTTAAAATAAATCCTTATTCCTGACTCTTGAGATTGCAGAGAATGTTGAATGAGATGATGTATTTAAAGTTCTTAACTACAGTGAATTTTTGTGATGGTTTAAAGAATATTTGTGAAGAGAACTCTTTAAAAGTTGAGTTCGGTTACTCAGTTCTTTGTGATGGAGAACCAACTCAAGGCTGACCGTCCCTCCAGTGCTTTTACAGAGGCTGAAAATCACACTGGTGGAGATTGCCCATTTTTTTCCTTTGGAGCAGCTGGTGGATTTGAGCCGCTTGTCTTTATTTTTTACCCACTAGGCCACCAGAGCTTCCCCAAAATGGAATTTAATAGTCAGTGTATGCACTATTTATAGGGATAGAATTTAGGATGCAAAGCAATCCAGCAAATGTTTTCAACTTGCTAATTTAAGTGAATTGTCACTTAGTACTAAACTAAGTTAAGACCCTCTGGTATCATTGAGATGGGTTTTGTAAGACTTCTTTGCAAATACTGTCATTTTCATCTTATAAATTCCCTCAGCTTTCTGTGCCTTAGCCCTGCCTTAGATGGTTTTGTTTGCAGTGAAATAACACATGGCAGTTTTGCTTCTAATTTCCACTGAGAGGTTTGGTAGCTTAGTGGTAAGGAATTTTGCTGCCAGCACAAAGGTATGCAGTTCGAATACACCAGCTGCTCCGCAGGATAAAGGACACCTGTAAACCTATTGGAAGGTCAGCTGTGAGTTCTGACTTGACAGTACACAACAATTTGGACTCAAGTTGCACCAGGCCTTTTTTTTTCACCCTCCCATTGACAGTGGCTTATGCCGTGTGGTTGTTTTTAAGGCAACCCTCTCAAACTTGGAAGAAATTAAATTTCCTTTATTATAACTTTAATGGTGCATAAAATTCCATCCACTGTCTAATTGTATGAGCTTAGAATTAAAGATTTTTCTTTTGGTCCTGTTGGAAATTTTCATTTTTCTTTTTCAGCTTGGGAAGACTCTAGGAACAGATTCACTGCTAATTACATACATTTTTAATTTACTAAATACCTCTAAGGATTTCTTGGAGTCATTTTGCCTTTATTTATTGTGGCAACATTCAGGCTGTGCTGGAGGAGGGAAGAAATGTAGAATAGAGATTGTAGTTTCTTAATGAGTGTGAGAATGTCAAGTCAGAAGGGAGATACTTCACTGTAATATGTCTTTCATGAGTTACAGTGGTGTCTGAAATGATACTATTTTGAGGTTAAAAGATCTGTGTCCTCCCCTGTATTGTTGTGTACTGTGGAGTTGGAACCGACTTATAGCTGACTGTCCAGTGGGTTTTCAGAGGCTGTGAGTCACATGGGAAGAGATGACCCATCTTTCTCCTGTGGAGCAGTTGGTGGATTCAAACCACACGCCTTTGGGATTGCAGCACGCTTCTTCCCTCTAGACCACAAGAACTCCCTGCAGTAGATAATGATAGAGGCCTTTGAATCCACCAGGCAGATTACAGTTTAACTGTAGCCTTCACTTGGACTCACTCGCAGTCCTTCATGGGAGAAAGGGTCAGGACCAGGAATGTGTATGCATGAGCTCTTTTCAGGGCTTGCTCATCTAGATCTCATTTTATCTGTCCCCTTCCTTGTCAGCACTAATTATAGATGAGGCAATGAACTTGAGACAAGGTTAAGTTGTCAATGGACTGGTTTTCAGTGCCTTTGGCTTGACTTCCTGACTTAATAGAAGGTTCTACAAGGAATAATTCCAGATACAAAATCCTGCCTATTACTTAACTTTAAAAACAACAACAACAAGGAAGACTGTCTTTCAAAAGTAGTTTTTTTTTAAAGGAAAATCGAGATATTTACTGAATTCCTTGGAGTACCTTACTGAAGAACAACACTGGTTTAAGCAGTCTTTCCTGATCCTGTCGTGATGACACCCGGGAGGAATTTAGCATTAACTTTTAGTCATTCTCTTTGTGGAAAGATGTTCAGAATGGGCCTCAGGGACATTTGGTTTTTAACGTTAAGAACAAGACCTCTGGAGCATTTAGGTTAAGTCAGATTTCATATATTCTCATCTTGACCCCTTCCAGTTGGTCTCTAAGTTATGTGTATCTGACTTACAAGCCTCATTCTCTGCCAATTGGAACCTACTCCTAGCTGACCTTCCATCAGGTTTTCAGAAGCTGTGCATCTCACAAGGTTGCCCATCTTTCTCCTGAAAAGCTCCTGGTGGGATTGCACTGCCAGAGAAGTGCTGTTTGGGTCCGCAGCACAACTCCGGATGGATTACACCACCAGAGCTCCATGAGTTACATACCTATATTATATAAGGGGCTGTAAAGCCTGTTCTGTTACTCATTTGAGGTACATACCCTGATTCATGTTACCAAATGGATGCTACTTTGTAACATGTAGCAAAATGTTTTAGTATTCTATGTTGTGTCAGGGAGCTCTGGTGGCCTAGTGGCAAGATACCGCTCTGCAGTCTTCAAGGCATAGGGTTTCAGTCCACTCCCTGCTTCATGGGAGAAGGCTGGGCAGCCTCCTCCCATGCGATTAACAGCCTCTGAAAACCCTATGAAGGGTCAGTTCTGGGTCGGTTCCACCTCAGTGGTACACAACAACAGTAACAACATAATGTGTTGAAGATGTTTTAACATATCTCGGGCTATTTTTAATGCATAGAAAGGTAAATTAGATATCATATACTCAAACATAATTCGATTAACTAATACTAAATATGAATCATACATAACTGTTGCAACTTACATCAAAATTATTCTTGAAGACGGACTTAGGAGCAGAACTTGTTCGTGATCTGGGGACTGCCTGCATATCTAATAGGGTCCCTGGGTGGTGCATACGATTAGGATGCTCAGCTGTGAAGTGAAAGGGCACAGGCTCTAGTCCCCTCAGAGGTGCCTCAGGAGAGAGCTGGCTTCCTTCTCAGTAAGTCAGCTTTTGAAGGCCCCAGGGAGCCTGGTTCTTATGTGACGTGTGGGCTTACCCAGAGTCGGAACTGACAGCCACCACCAGTTGTATATATATATATATATATATATATATATATATATATATATATATATATATCACTATATACTTTATCAATTTTTACAATGGTTATAGTTATATCTCAATAGCTCCTTCTTAAGCTCTTGATTATTTGTGTTTTCATACGAACACTCCCTTAGGAAGTTAATAATAACTAATAAAAGCTAATATTATTTGTAAAGCACTACATCAAACATGTGAGGATTGTTTATATACTCTGTTTATCTGCTGAAAGATCAGGAAACAGATACAGAGCTGTTAAGTAAATAGCTCAAGGTTACAAATACTAAGTTGTATAGCCAGTCTCCAGGCTCTGTTAACCTTAACCTCTGTTGTTAAGTGTGTTACTGTGTGCTGTGGAATTGGAACCAACTCATAGCTGATCCTCCAGCTGGTTTTTAGAGGCTGTAAATGCCATCTTTTGTTGTTGTTGTTGCCTGTCTTTCTCCCTTAGCAGAGCTGGTGGGTTTGAACTACCTTCCTCTGAATCAGCAGCCACCAGAGCTTCTACTCTTACCCACTGGAGCGTCTTGCTAAAGGGAAAGGGAGCTTTCTTAGAGGAATATAAAGAAGTTGCTTTACAGTTTTTAATGAATTTAGTCAGATTCTCCCACATGTGCCTGTTTCAGTACTGAGAAAGACTCTCACTGACTGAGATTCATTGGTTTTTATTCTCTGGTAAGAGTCAGTTGTAATCCTGCCCTCCAACATAGTTCTGCCTCATATACTCACTGCCGCCCCTCAGCACAGTTCTGCCTCATATATACCCACTGCTGTTGATTCTGACTCCTGTCATTGCCCCTATCAAGTTTTAGGGGATGTTCATCTTT